CGATCTGTACTCGTATGCAGGTTTTATTTGTTCGTGCCACGGGATATCACTCTAGAGTATAATCTTGAGACGAAGTGCTCTTTACAGGAGTCGAACGGTGATTATGATTCCAATGAAAGGGTAACGCCACCCAAATTGCTTTATTCTGAAACATGATTTGATCGACTGTTTTGTTATTTTCACTCAAGTACACCCCAGGTGATATAGACTGAAATTTGACTGACTTACACAAAGGTGAACAGTTAAGGGCTTGATGTGGTCAGCAGTTAAAGGGGGGTGGCACTCAGGCAAACATGGCTGTAATTAATGTTTATGTGTGGCAGGTTGGCCCGACCTCTCCGTCACAACTCAACTGTTTACAAAACAAGTGTTTTATTTAAACTTGGCTAAACATGCATTTCTTCCAACATCAGCTGTTACAATAAGCAACGTCGTTGTCGCCACATGCCGTGCAGGTCTAAACATCACCATGTACTTATTTATTAATCGGTCGATCCTTCCAACATCACACATCTGCCATTCATTTCACTTATGCCTCGGGGTACTTGATCAGGGGAGGGAATTCTACTCAGTTAACACGGGATTCAGTTTATCCGGACAATAATTGAGAAAACGCAATTGTCCGGATAAGCGAGGTTCGACTGTATAAATAGATCTAGCAGTTCATGGCTATCCTAATTATATAGTGATACTGTTTCAGTACTAAATTCTCGGGCAAAAAAAGTATAACTTGAAAAGTGGGTTTAACCATGAAATAACAAGAATTAACTACCTTGCTAAGTCAACGAGAAACTGCAGACTTTAGGTCCCAAACTATGATACTTGTATTAAATACATCTACATAGAAAAATAGTTTATTGTTTGTTTCATTTTTAGCCATCGTCAAATGTAGGTGGATAGTTTATTTTGCACGACAGTGTATTTACAAGACAAAGATCTAGAGTATAACCCATGCTTTGAAGTGAGGTCCTTCTTTCGTCAAGCATACGAGATCAGATATAATTGTCGTGCATAATTTATAAGTAAGAGCTGGTTGCGTTCAATAATGTATTTTACATGTAAAAACTAGATTAGTGTTAAAATATTGGTAAGGAAATACTAACCACATTGCTAATACCTTAGTATAACCCAGATCATGGATGTGTAACATTTGTAGTGAAAACCGGTTCTTGCAGACGGTTCCGTTGCTAGTACAATCAGCTGTTAATGTATCATGGATACTGATCAAACCATCTGTATCTGCAAGGTTAGAACAAAACAGCCCGCTAGAAGGGGGCGAGTACAAATTTCTGCGAGCGAGTGCAAGTTTCCCAATTTCCCATTGTTTTAACATTACAAGGGCATTTTATGTTTCCCCGGGCTTGTAAAGCTTTTGAGTTTCGTTCTAGCCCTGATCTTCATGCATTGTCTTGAGTCGTTCCCAACAGTAACTGTCCGGATGTCACAGGTTCCGGATAAACAGAGTCCACAATTAATCAAATTTATCATCGTATATCGTAGGTTAATCCTGTACCATTACTGTGGAATATATGTATTTTGTGAAAAAACAAAACAATCTAGATTTATATGAAAGCAAGTCTATCCAGCCCTCGCCAGCTCGGGTAGAGAGAAATGTATTTTGTAATAAAAAAAATCATGGACTATATGTCTAATCGAAGGCCACTGGAGGGTATTTTTGGGATAAACTCAACTGATATGACGTCAGTAATGACGTCAATAATGACGACATAGTGATAAATCGGTTCTCCCCACTACAAACGCCCTACGATATAAAGTTAATACCAGCTCTGTAAAAAAACCGGACAGTATAACGTCAGAAGATCCTTGCTGTATTTGTGCCTCCTATTTTGATACCCCCACTGAGAAACTTCTCCCGGGATCTTTCCTTTGAAGATAGCTTCATGATTTGCTAACCAATTCAACTGAATCATGATTTATTTATTTCTGGAGGCTTACGAGTGAGTCAAATCCGAACATAGCGTGGTATTGACACAACGTGACACATATGATAATATTGGCATTGTGTCAAACACGGTACAATTTACAACATATACTCCACGAGGTGTTGGCCAATATTCGTCTGGGAACTGGCGACCTGGGAGGTTTGTTGGACGAGGGTACCGCGATCTGTATTGTCATGCCGTTTTTCCGGGAATCTGCTCGTCACTGCCACGTGTTTAAGCTATTGTCAGACGCTATGGAGATATCGCTGTTTATGTCTGTTTATACCACTCCCCGCCGTGTTAATAGTCTTAGGATACAAAGGGGCACCCGTTACCCGTACATACGTTCAGTGGTATGACGACTATACCTAGAAATCTCACCTCACAAAGTCGTGAGCCGATAAGGCAATCTGAGCTCTTTACGCAGTTCAGTCGGAAACAGTATCTAGCGGATCTTTGTTTAAATATTACGCAAAGAAATAATCATTATCGGTCTGATCTGTGTACGGTCAGGCCCCGTAATCGGGATACTGGTGCACGTCCGCAGTAATATATTAAAGTATAACTGGGTTATAACCTTTGTATACTTTGTAGACATTCCGAAAACAGTAAACGACAGCTTGTGTTTTTCGGGCTAATGATAGTGAAGATTTAGTAATCAAATGCCTAGGGTGGTCAAACGACAAGTAAGGTTTGTTTTGTAAACATGTAACTTGTACCAGGAACCGTAGATAGGGTATAGAGGGTAGGTGGGGGCTGTGTTGATGGTGGTGGGGGTGGGGGGATGGGGGTGGATGTAGAAGTGAGTGAGTGAGTTGGTTTTAACGCCACCTTAACAATATTCCCTCAGAATGTCGGCTTGATGGGTGGGGAAAGCTTTAAGATAGTTGGCACTGACAGACAAAGGGTGATAATAGAGTCAAATCTGCGATTCGAACCCACGACTCAACAATCTTACTGCGAATTGCGGCACCGTAGAACTTTGCTACTAGGATAAACGGGTGGTCCTGTCGTCGTCCGAGGGGCCGCAATTCGGTGTGCAGAGTTGGGTATGCCAGAAACCAATGACTTTGGGTTCGAATCCCGGTTCGCCCCGATTATGTTTCTAGGTAGGTTTGTAGCACCATACCCGTGCTCATGGGTTCACCCCCCCCCCGCCCCCCGCCCAACACATACACAATGTTGCTGCTTTCTAATATTCATATGCATCCAGAACCGCCCTGTAAACCTCGGGGATCCGTATCACTGCATGTTTTTGTGTCCACTCTTTTCAAACTTACGGGAAAAACCAATAATTTTACATAAGAAATATCTCAATTTGGACTGAAACGAAACCTAATCGATAGTGATTCATAGACACATGTTTATCATACAGCCGGAACTAAACAATTGACTCTGGATTTAGCAAAGATTTCTTCTGGTTATAGAACAGGTTTTGTCGTTTTTATTAAGAAAAAAGTAAAACCAGTTATGTTTTTAGGTGTTTTTCTGTAATGATTATAGATTTTTTTAATTTATACATGGAAATGCTTTTATGAAAAATGGTTCCTTTCCTAACGTGTGTGTGTGTGTTGGCTTGATGATAGTCGGTAAAAGTGCATGTTCCCTTCAAACAAATTTCGTCCAAAATGAAACAGCTTCGTGTGCATGATTAGAATCACAAATGTCTACTTGGTGTGCAGAAGCCGTTCCAGATATCAATATTCTGTTAATGCGTTCTCCATGTACATACTCTTACACATTGGATATTGATAAGGTCCCAGCTTGCAGTCAAAATTTCTAAGAGCTTACGGGTTAGGCATAACTTTGTATATTCATCTGAGGAATGACATACCCACTTTGATAACACCTGGTGTCGTCACTGATTTTGAGTGATCCATTCATATAATTTTCACCGCTATTTTTCATCTTATTCCCAATGGAATCTGTCTCGGTGGAAAATCAAGGCTTGTTAATCTCGAACAATTGTTGTTTACGACAGGAGTATTGGTTGATAACAACATCTGGCGGTACATAGTACCAAATGTAAGTTTGATAAGCTTGTAATGTCGGGGGTAAGCTGGACATGGATATTTTATATTGACGGGTCACATATTTCTGCAAGAAACAATATTGAGGAACAATAGTTAATAATAGTTACCTGAAGGGACAGCTACGTGTCTCATTTTAAAATAACACGTGTTTTAATCAACAAAAATGTTCACCAAACAAAAGTGTATGTTTACCGTTATTCTTGCCTTCAAGCCAGACGCCCGCGTGTACATGTAAAAGAGATAAATGCTGTATACAGATACTGTGTGGTACTGAATACCATATTGACACGATGAACGTGCAACTATAAGACATGCTAATAACTCCATCAGGCACTGTTTGTATTTGGATTATTTTATTTGAAACATGCAAATCATGAAGACGATAGATGTAACTGTAAGACTGTTGAAAATAAGTGAAACGGACATCAACAGAAGACGGAAACTGCCGGCGGTACATGTAATGTGTAAACACGACATAACGGTGCTGATTTTACATGTATGTGGTATGTAAAGAGCATACAGTGTTCACATATAATATCCTCTGATTTCTTGTGGTGTGAAATCCAAATCCAATAGTATATTCTCTACAAGGACCAGGAGTAATATATCATATATATGTTATAGGTATACATACTTGTAAAGGGGGGCACGGGTGGCCCAGCCGTCTGAGGCGCCGCGATTCGCTGTGCAGAGTTACGTCCCTTGGGTACGCCAGAAACCTATGATTGTGGGTTCGAATCCCGGTTCACCCCGATTATGTTTCTAGGTTGTCAGCACCATACCCGTGCTCGTGGGTTTCACCGAAGTGGTCAACGTCTGAGATCTGCATCACTTCGGGCTTTCCTCCCACATTAAGCTGACACGCCGTGATATAACTGAAATACTGTTAAAAGCGGCGTTAAACCAAACTCACTCACTCACTTGTAAAGACGCAGCTTATTGTTGTCATGCGTCGAAGTTTATTAAATGATTATTAAAAAACTAAAGTCTAAATCTTCATTATGACCTTGACCTTGTGTTGCAGGTAATCGTAAGCCGCCATCATGTGTAAGTGTTTCGAGGTCATCGGCAGGATTGTCATCGGCATCCTCAGCGTCATCTTCGCCGTAAGTAGCTGTAGCCCTAATACAGGAAGTACATGTAGTGATATATATATATACATAATGTAGCCCTAATACAGGAAGTACATGTAATGATATATATACATAATGCAGCCCTAATACAGGAAGTACATGTAGTGATATATATACATAATGCAGCCCTAATACAGGAAGTACATGTAGTGATATGTATACATAATGCAGCCCTAATACAGGAAGTACATGTAATGATATGTATACATAATGCAGCCCTAATACAGGAAGTACATGTAGTGATATGTATACATAATGCAGCCCTAATACAGGAAGTACATGTTATTATATATATACATAATGCAGCCCTAATACAGGCAGTACATGTAGTGATATGTATACATAATGCAGCCCTAATACAGGAAGTACATGTAGTGATATATATACATAATGCAGCCCTAATACAGGAAGTACATGTAGTGATATGTATACATAATGCAGCCCTAATACAAGAAGTACATGTAGTGATATATATACATAATGCAGCCCTAATACAGGAAGTACATGTAGTGATATATATATACATAATGCAGCCCTAATACAGGAAGTACATGTAGTGATATATATACATAATGCAGCCCTAATACAGGAAGTACATGTAGTGATATGTATACATAATGCAGCCCTAATACAGGAAGTACATGTAGTGATATGTATATATAATGCAGCCCTAATACAGGAAGTACATGTAGTGATATGTATACATATTGTAGCCCCTATACAGGAAGTACATGTAATGATATGTATACATAATGCAGCCCTAATACAGGAAGTACATGTAGTGATATATATACATAATATTGCCCCTATATAGGAAGTACATGTAGTGATGTGTATACATAATATTGCTCCTATATAGGGAGTACATGTAGTGATATGTATACATATTGTAGCCCCTATATAGGAAGTACATGTAGTGATATGTAAACATAATATTGCCCCTATATAGGGAGTACATGTAGTGATGTGTATGCATAATATTGCCCCTATATAGGAAGTACATGTCGTGATATGTATACATAATATAGCCCCTATATAGGAAGTCCATGTCGTGATGTGTAAACATAATATTGCCCCGATATAGGAAGTCTATGGAGTGATATGTATACATAATATTGCCCCTATATAGGAAGTACATGTAGTGATGTGTAAACATAATATTGCCCCGATATAGGAAGTCTATGCAGTGATATGTATACATAATGTAGCCCTAATACAGGAAGTACATGTAGTGATATGTATACATAATATTGCCCCTATATAGGAAGTACATGTAGTGATATGTATACATAATATTGCCCCTATATAGGAAGTACATGTAGTGATATGTATACATAATATTGCCCCGATATAAGAAGTACATGCAGTGATGTATATACATAATATTGCTCCTATATAGGGAGTACATGTAGTGATATGTATACATAATGTAGCCCTTATATAGGAAGTCTATGGAGTGATATGTATACATAATATAGCCCCTATATAGGAAGTACATGTAGTGATATGTATACATAATATTGCCCCTATATAGGAAGTCCATGTAGTGATATGTATACATAATGTAGCCCTATATAGGAAGTACATGTAGTGTTATGTATACATAATATTGCCCCTATATAGGAAGTACATGTAGTGATATGTATACATAATATTGCCCCTATATAGGAAGTCCATGTAGTGATATGTATACATAATATAGCCCCTATATAGGAAGTACATGTAGTGATATGTATACATAATATTGCCCCTATATAGGAAGTCCATGTAGTGATATGTATACATAATGTAGCCCTATATAGGAAGTACATGTAGTGTTATGTATACATAATATTGCCCCTATATAGGAAGTACATGTAGTGATATGTATACATAATATTGCCCCTCTATAGGAAGTACATGTAGTGATATGTATACATAATGTAGCCCCTATATAGGAAGTACATGTAGTGATATGTATACATAATACTGCCCCTCTATAGGAAGTACATGTAGTGATATGTAAACATAATATTGCTCATTTGTAGGAAGTACATGTAGTGATGTGTATACATAATATTGCCCCTATACAGGAAGTACATGTAGTGATATGTATACATAATGTAGCCCCTATATAGGAAGTACATGTAGTGATATGTATACATAATACTGCCCCTCTATAGGAAGTACATGTAGTGATATGTAAACATAATATTGCTCATTTGTAGGAAGTACATGTAGTGATATGTATACATAATATTGCCCCTCTATAGGAAGTACATGTAGTGATATGTATACATAATGTAGCCCCTATATAGGAAGTACATGTAGTGATATGTATACATAATACTGCCCCTCTATAGGAAGTACATGTAGTGATATGTAAACATAATATTGCTCATTTGTAGGAAGTACATGTAGTGATGTGTATACATAATATTGCCCCTATACAGGAAGTACATGTAGTGATATGTATACAACAATGAATTTCAAGGGTGTTATCACGGCTTTCCCAGATTTAAACCCTAAACAAGTTTATCTGTTAAAAACAATCCTACACCTGTCCAAACTATTGGCCGAGGAACGTGTTTAGGTTTGTGTTTAGGATCTAAACACGTTGTTTATTTGGTGTACCTGTGGGTATGTATGCCAAAAATTCGATGTCTCTCCTCCAGTATGTAGACTTGGTATGTCCCATATCTTCAGGTACCTGTGTATGCACAGGGTTTTATATATTTGGTCTACTTACTATGATACAGTTCCCTTATCGCAATGACTTGTTATGCTACTGATGGGATGGGCGTCCCAGTCTGATGAGGGGCGGTCGGGTAGCCTAGTGGTTAAAGCGTTCGCTCGTCACGCCGAAGACCCGGGTTCGATTCCCGACATGGGTACAATGTGTGAAGCCCATTTCTGGTGTCCCCCGCCGTGATATTGCTGGAATATTGCTAAAAGCGGCGTAAAACCATATTCACTCACTCACTGATGAGGCGGCTGAAATCTCCGTATAGAGTTGCCTCTGTCTATATTTAGACGTGCACTGGACCTAAGGTTTGAATTCCAGTGCCACCCGAATTATGTTTCTCAGTCTGTCAGCACCATACCGTGCTTCTGGGTTCCACCAAAGTGGTAAATGTCAGAGACCTTAGGCTTTCCTCCCACATCAAACTGACACGTCGTGATATAACTGGAATATTGCTTAGCGGTGTTAAACTCAACTCATGTTCACATGTCGTGTTTCAGATTCTGGGCTTCGTGCTGCTGGTGTTTGGCATCATGGTCAAGGTGCAGTCCGACGTCATCCAGAACCTGTTCCAGTCCCTCATAGACATGGCCAAACAACAGGCGAAGTCCGCCATAGGCTCCGGCTTCGACCTGCCCACCGACAACTTCAACATCAACGACCTTGTGGGCGGCCTCGCCATCGTCTTTATCATCATCGGTGTGGTGATGTTGTTTATCGGAGTCCTCGGCATTGCGGGGGCGTGCTGCATGGTGAAGTGTATGATTGTGTTGGTGAGTTGATTCATTACGTAGTTCGTACCCTGGCCATACAACACGTGTTGACGTACACCGATGACGACGCACATTGCGCTAAAGTCCTTGTGACGTACACCGATGACTAAATATGGCTTTGCAAGTAATTTTGACATTCATTGATAGCAAAATAAATGGTATATTAATAAAATTTGACATACATCGATAGCTAAACAATGGTCCTTCAAGGATGTTTGACGTACAATGGTCATACAGGTACGTTTGACGTACATTGATAGCTAAACAATGGTCATACAGATACTTTTGACGTACAATGGTAGCTAAACAATAGTCATACAAGTACTGTGTCACATACAATGATAGCTAAACAATAGTCATACAAGTACTGTCACATACAATGATAGCTAAACAATGTTCATACAAGCACGTTTGACGTACAATGGTAGCTAAGCAATAGTCATACAAGTACTGTCACATACAATGATAGCTAAACAATAGTCATACAAGTACTGCCACATAAATGATAGCTAAACAATGGTCATACAAGTACTGTGTCACATACAATGATAGCTAAACAATAGTCATACAAGTACTGTCACATACAATGATAGCTAAACAATAGTCATGCAAGTACTGTCAAATACAATGATAGCTAAACAATAGTCATACAAGTACTGTCACATAAATGATAGCTAAACAATGGTCATACAAGTACTGTGTCACATACAATGATAGCTAAACAATAGTCATACAAGTACTGTCACATACAATGATAGCTAAACAATAGTCATACAAGTACTGTCACATACAATGATAGCTAAACAATGGTCATTCAAGGATGTTTGACGTACAATGATAGCTTAACAATTGCCATACAATAACAGTGTCCCGTACAATATAGACATACAGACATGGATGTATATACAGTAGAATATGCTTAGAGTCGCCACACCTCGGGACGTTGCTGATGCTGTATGACATGTTTCAGTATCTCATCGTCAACGTCATCTTCCTCATCAGTCAGATTGCTCTGGTCGCCATCGCTGCATCCAACAGAGGCATCGTAAGTATTTCAGACCATTAACTATACAGTGAAACCCCGGTATTCTGCTCCTCTTTATAACGCTGAACCTGCAGTCAGGGGTGTTCTATAAGGAGCATCTTCGTATACACAAGTTGCCCGTAAAACTGATTCGTTCATCCGAACAATTTCATTCAGAAGGGTACCGTCCGGATCAGCTTCGTTTACCGTAGCCCTTCATCTGTTCGTCTAAATTCGCCCCATGACTGTTCAGCCCTAATTATAGCACATTCAATACACAGCGTGTTTGAAATGCAGCAGGATACCCTCACTTTCTAGGTTTCACCACGTTGCTATTACCATATACTCCGGCATTGTGTTTAATTATCTTCAATAGTGCATCATATTTCGAACTGTCATAATGTATAATGTGTTTAATTTTGTTTCTGTAACCGGCACCTAGTTTGTCCATATGTACATTATTATTTATCTTATCTCATCTCATCGAAAGTTATTTAAAAAAAAATGATTGTAGATCGGAAACAAAAGCCGGTACGGGTTTTGGAAACACAACCGATTTCTTTTTTCGATCTAGAATCTTTATTCAAAGTTCTCTTACAATTAAATAAAGTATACGTATTTGGAGGTAAGTGATCAAGGAAGTAGGATGTAAGGAATTGAAGGTGCAGAAAAGCGCTGCGCACTTTTGAGGACCATACTCACGGCATGACCCGTGAAGATCCGGGGTAGAATAGGTCTTCAGCAACCCATGCTTGCCGTAATAGGCGACTATGGTTGTCGTAAGAGGCGACTAACAGGATCGGGTGGTCAGGCTCGCTGACTTGGTTGAAGCATGTCATTGATGCCAATTGCGTGGATCGATGCTCCTGATATCAATCACTGGATTGTCTGGTCCAGACTCAATTATTTACCGCCGCCATATAGCTGGAATATTGCTGAGTGCGGCGTAAAACAACAAACCAACCAACCAACAACAGTGGCACATAGAAAACCGATTCAAAACGAGGAACCTATACCGTAACCACATATGTCACAACACGTTCTACCCTTGCAACGGTCAGCGTGCTTCCCCAGACTAGATATGTACGTGTATACACCTGTTCTGACGAAAGGAGGCAAAAATAGGTCAGGAAATCTACTGAGGGCGGCTCGTGTGTTGAATAAATAGAGGATATTAATTATATTGCCTCTGTGACTTGATAAGTGGGTTACTTTGAAAACCATAATGTCGTTAAGACAGTAGTTCGTCAAGTAGGGGAGTGGCAATCGAGTGAAATACCGATTTTATGTTTTCAGGAAAATATGGTGTTTCAACCCTAAATATGTAAAAACGTAATCAATATCGGTAATCGTTATTACATGATCTATTCGAAAAAATGTCGTTCCAAAAAGATTTAGGTTTTTGTTAGTTTGTGGTTTAATCCCGCACTCAACAATATTCCAGCTATATGGCGGCTGTGGGTAAATAATTTGGACCAGACAATCCAGTGATCGATATTGTGAGCAATCAACCAAATTACCGAGCCTGATCACCCGAAGAATTTAGTCACCTCGTATAACCAGGATAGATTGCTTGGGACCAATCCTAGCCAGGGGGTCCTGACTATTTAAGTCCCTATTTATAACTGAATGCATGAGTGAAGACATCCAGAAAGCGAGTAACAGACAGAGAGCAGCATCACAGTAAGGAGAGTTTTCACTACCGTAACATGACTCCATGTTTCTCCCCAGATCACCGACCCCCCTAAAGCTGGGCTCAAGTCTTCTCTCCAACAGGAGTACCAAGGCGTGAACGGCACCGACGTCACCTCCCTCTTGTGGAACGTCGTCATGAACGGGGTAAGACGCCGCACAGCGGTGATCTACTTGGCTCTGTCACAGCGCTAGAACCAAGACCGTAAAATACAGAATACCTCAACAGTTTTAACAAGGCAGATAGACATTAAAAAAAAGAACACTGAGACGAACAGTGACGCTAATTTGTTTATATTATCTTTTGTAAAACAAGAAGATTAAGTCAATATATGTTTCTCGTGTAGCTGCAGTGTTGCGGTATCGATGACTCTCAGGACTTCTTAAATGCAACTAAATGGACCAGTGTTTGGGGTCCCGGGACAACCCCCAACTTCCAGACCCCGGCTGCCTGCTGTAAGTCTGGTTTGTTTACGGATAGTGACAAGACATGTGCGAAGACCCCGACAACAACCAACAACAACAAAGACACCGTGAGTGGCTTGTGGGGTGGCGGTGAGATTTGTCTTATGACTATCATATTTTGCCGCCCCCTTTAGTTTTATTACCATTTTTCATGCTACCCTATATGTCACATTTTTCGTGACCCCTTCTCTATATTTGTCATGACCCCCTCTCTATATTTGTCATGACTCCCAATCCCTGAATAATGACCAGATGTAGATTTGTTTAATTGAAAACTGGGACCCCCTTAATTTCCCCATATGATATAAGACCACTTCCTTAATACTGGACGTATTAAGTTCTTTCCTTGGTACTATCAATACTTCGGTTTGGTACTCTGCGTAATTGGCACCAATGGTTTCAAGTGCATTTTCGGTACTTTTAGAACCATTGGCACTCTCGGCATCCTTACAGAATATTGCTGTCAGATTCACCTCTAAAATGTCACTTTTTAAGTAGGTAAAAATCATAACAGCAGTAGTGGCGTTCTCAAGCAGCGTCCCATTGGGGTCCAGCAACAGATGATTGCAGTTCTGTGATGTATGTTTCAGGGGTGCTATGAGAAGATATGGGACTTCATCTTCAAGGGCACGACCTTCATCATCTTTGCGTGCGCTGACATTGGTGGTTTTGTAAGTAACCTTACTCGTTCAGTGCGCTGACATTGGTAGTTTTGTATGTAACCTCAATCGTTCTGTGCGCTGACATTGGTGGTTTTGTAAGTAACCTTACTCGTTCAGTGCGCTGACATTGGTAGTTTTGTATGTAACCTCAATCGTTCTGTGCGCTGTCATTGGTGGTTTTGTAAGTAACCTCACTCGTTCTGTGCGCAGTCATTGGTGGTTTTGTAAGTAACCTCACTCTTCTGTCTCTCTTGTGGGTGGTGGGGTGGTGATTTAGGTAACTGTGAAGGTGAGGCTGTCCGTATGGTCTACACAATGACTGGATCGATTTCCTGAAGAAGAAAAAGAAGAAGAAAATTATTTATTAAATAGCCACACATTGTAAAAAAGTGTGACAATTTAAATATTCATAAAATATACACTGCCAGACCATATGGTCAATGAAGCATGCAATACAGCATATATACACATAGGCATTAGATAACAAGATGTATATAAAGATTAAAATATATATTCCTGGGGTTAATATTTAATTTACTTAGGATAAGATAGGGTTATAGCGAAAGTCGTTGTTCTTGGCTGAAACATTTGGGATAATTCAGCGCCCAGGCGTGATATAAACCAATCATTCCGCATTAAGAGTACGTTCTGGTTTTGATTCATTGATATAAGAAGATGTCTTTTAGGGGCGAAATTACTCATTAGTTATATTCACGGTTTCACCGTTCGAGTCCAATCTGTTTCCAATCCTGAGAGTGGAAGAGCCACGCGAGTCTGTGTAAACTAAAGGATGAATAGGCCACGTGTTTAGATCCATGGGCATCAAAGTCTGTATTATGAGAGGCGATCGTACATATTTATGATCTGTTTCATAGACTAGCTCTGTTTAATACCAATAAACCATCACGAGACGACTCTCTGATATCTACCTGTACTGACCATGGTCGATGGGTATCCAGTTGTTAGATTCGATTCTGCTGTTTGTTGATATACCAAACCAAGGAACACCAGCATACTATCCCCTCCCATACTTGCCCTTTTCGCGAACACCACTAATTTGCAGTGATCCATTTAAATAATTGTTAACGCCGTTTAGCCACCCAGGGGGTCTGTTTCGGCGGATAATCGAGACTGGTTTTTTCTTTCGTTGACGTTTAATATTTCTTCACAGGCCCTGCTGACAATTTTCTCCGGGATTATCCTGCATCAGATCCTTCAGAAGAACAAGGTCGGAAACATGGCCTAGACGAGTTACATCTGGTCAGAGGTGAGTCATTACATGGCCGAGGTGAATCATCAGCGTTAGATATTTACAAGGTGGGGTAAGGTGACAGGGGGATTATTGTAGCCTTAGTGCACTTATATAGAGACGTGCATGCACGTGTGTGTGGCTCCGTGTACGAGTCCGGATTACAGTGCTTGCCCACTGAGATGCCCCACTGAGACGCAGTATACTGACTCCGAGCCGACCAGTCCTTGTTTTAGCCCCTTCATGCCGAGAGCCAGGCAGGGTAACAAGCAGCATGTTATATACATTTTGGTATTGCTCTGCCTAGGGATCGAACAACCGACCTCGCGCTCTTCGGGCAGACACTCTTTCCACTAGACCACGTAGACGATCAATGTTTACAAGGTTGCACGGCTCAGTGGACGCCTTCACTACCGGCTGATTTACATTAATTATTTCGTTGTTACGATATTCCTAACCAGGGGCAAAAGAAATGTTTGATTTTCAAATGATAACATATTAAGTAAGCGATATTTTAAAAAGAATGACACTGGCGCATAGACAGCACTCAAAGAATACTTCTGCATTGTTGTATTTTGTGATAATTTTATTTATTTAAAAAAAATTAAAAGTGAAAGAGATATATGGCATAGGACCCAAGTGGTGATAGGTATGTTGGACATGTTATCTTTGTAAAGTAACACATTTGCGTTTCGGCACATATTCACAACATTTAAAACATGGTCATGTTGTTGCAATTCGTTCTTTATTGAACCAATTTATTTTTAACCCACATTACTCAAATTCAGCAACAGTTATTTCCAGTTATAATGACATAAAAACAACTTCAGTATACTTCCATTTGCCCCCAGTCTAGATCTACATGTAGATAACAGATTTACAGCAAGCAGGCTTAAGGGGAAAGTTTGACTGTCTTGTGCCTCTTCACACACCCACTACCCCAAACGACGTGTATTAATCTCCGTGTGTTAATCTCCGTGTGTTAATCTCCGTGTGTTAATCTCCGTGTGTTTATCTTGCAGAACCCCGACGCCTGAGCAATGCTGTGATCTCCCCGAGGCTGAAGTCTTTAGAATCTTGCTGTATTTACTTTAAAAGTATTTGTTTTGTACATTGTGTAAAAATGATTCTTGATTATTGTTGTGTGGACATGTCCAAATGTGACATCAGTGACAGAATCAGGGGAGAGGTAGGAATGGGATTCAGCACCTTTTGAAATCTCATAACGGCCATTATTTCATGCCCATCTCCACCCCCTCCCCCAACCCCCCCCCCCCCCCCCCCCCCCCCCCCCTCCAATCCCCAACCCTCCCAATATATCTCTGTATTAATTTGTTCACCCCTAAACAGGAAGCAGGGCTTCAAACCTTGACCCCTCAATCTATTTGACATTTGTATGCATAAACATGCTGTAAAATTTATTCGAACATTTTGACAATATTTGGTCATTATAAATACGATCATTTTAGGTGTTTTAAGCTTGTAATGCCATCATAGCCTGTAAAGGCTCACATGCGCCCAGGTTTGTTTTAAAGGCTTTGTCTTTCATCACGTCAAATGTTCTGTATAATATAATTTATTAGGAAAGGGAAAATAGGAATATAAATGAAGCATTTACCTATAATTGGTTCTTTACCGGTGACAATTCTTAGTGTTCGAAAGTTCTTAATACACAAGGAATTGTTTCCTGTATATATCACTATTTCCCCTCTCACGTTGTTTGTACATAGATAGGAACTTGTTATCTTTGATATATACATGGCAGACATGAGACCTCGCTAATCCGGACGGTTACAACAAGGGTAAACGGGTTCCCTGATAAACCTTTGTTACAAGACAATCGCATTGAATTCGAGTGTACAAGATTAACGGGGGATATGTATTCAAGCGATGGTTGAATGAAATATTCATGATATATACGTGATATAGGCGAAGCACACGAAACATGCTTTTATACACAGACGTTTGCAATATGACACCAAAACGTCTTCCCGTAGCCGTTACAGTGCGTCTACCGTTACGATAAGGGCTGTGTCGGAAGAATGTTCTGATATCATATGCGTCAGTATCAGTATTATGTTGTATGTTATTCCATGCGATAGAATTTGTATGTATTTATGACTGTATAGAGATGTATTTGTTTTGATGTAGTGCCATCCGTCCGTAGTGAGAAATCTTATTCTTGTCCCGAATATAATTTGTTTACAATATTGATTTTCTTCAGATTTTATGTAAATGAGACAAACCCATTTGCAGCATTATACACCATCCTTTGTTGATAGGTGAGCCAATATACGTGTTTCTTACGAAGGAGAACATTATAAATGTACACTGAAACAGGCCACAATAATATATTAAATTGAATTGAATTGAATTTCGATTACATACATGGCTTTTTGTATTTTTAAAGTAATATTTTCAGACTGACACAGCTGTGGTGAAACTGTCATTATCATGTTCAGTCGACGTGGTTAAAGGAAGGGGTTTCAAATTTCGATTTCGGTTAAAAAACTTGAGACATACCCTCAAACATCCCCATAAACTCTAACTGTAAAACTGCTGACGTCCTGAAATAGATAACACTCATAGTAGCATTGCAAATGTGTTATCGAGCCATAGGACATCAGAAGTGTTGCGCATAAATATGTTTTGAACAGGCACGAGCTTTCTTGTACTTCGTCTAAGTTTCATCTCCGTTGACGATGAGAGCAAAATATGACGACGCCATGTATAAACTTGAAATGCTTTTAAAGAATTGCGAACGTTATTTATCATTTTGAAAACTTTCAAACAACCTCCAAAATGGAATGAAAATGTTTATCTGACGTCGAAATTTCAACCATTACCAATAATCACGCAGTATAAGCCACACGTGAAGAGGGTAGTTGCCGTATTAGACTGTCTGTAGTACTACGCCGTCAGGACCGCTTTACCAACAGCCAGCTTTAGCTATCGATCAATCCGACACACAAAATAACACGGTAAATTGCATCCAAGTATCACGCGGGCGGCAACCGTTCACCCAGCGAGGACAAGAATTTCAAACGGGTGTGTATCTTTCAAAGCGGAAATGATGTGTGAGGTAGGTCTTCGTGCACCTATAGTGCCTGTAAATAGATACTGACAGCGTCGTCGTTGTAGGAAAGTGAGACAGTGCTGTAGAAGATGTTGAAAGGACGTTGTAGAATTAGGTTGACAACGTTGCTGAAGGTAGTTCACAGGTTGAATAACAACACGGTGAATATTCCCACACAACTGAGAATGTTCGTGAAGCACAATTTCCCAACACAACACCAATTACTTGCACTGCTTATTTCATTCGGTGTGATACATGTTTACAAATGTGAAAAGAATAATGTGTACACTTGAATCTGAGCTAATACGTGTTTTGTCATGTTATTCTTTCTCACTCTCGTGTTTATTGGCGTCGAATTGTGACCTGAAGACAAGAACACATTTGGTCACAAACGAATAATTCTATAATTTCCATAAATGAAGTGAAGGCTCACAACATGAAATATTAACCCCCGTTAGCCCACTCCCTTATCCACACAAGCAACATTAACGGGGTTTCACAGCTATGAATACATGACATTCCGTCCATATGACCATCTGCTGTGTCCGTCCATCTGCTTTAGAACTATATTTTTGTACATACTATGTGTATTTGCTGTTGACCAGATTTATATTGACATATTATACGTTCTTGTTAACCTTTGAACCTGTTGTGATTCTCTCGAGACATGTGTGAACACTTGATCCGTCTACACAATTTACCTGCTGTCGTAATAAAGTTAATATTTCTCTTATCTTAATTGTTGTTTCGTCAATCTCCCAAATATAAAACATTACAGGATAGTAAACCATAACATTAACACAAAACACGTACGTGTAGGAAACTATACTGAACCGCAAAAAAAAACGTCACCACAAGTCACATTGCATGAAAAGTTGTCATTTACTGTATGGCAGATGAGAGAGAGAGAGAGAGAGAGAGAGAGAGAGAGAGAGAGAGAGAGAGAGAGAGAGAGAGAATGGCGACTTCGTGGGGAACGTTATTCTGATGCTTGTGTTGTTGAGAGAGATTCGTTGGGTGTTCCGAGCATCATGGTGTGGGGTGGAATTGGTCTTGCACAGAGGGTCGGCCCTGTGGACTTCCAGAACATCGGCCCAGGGAGAGGCAATGGTGTCACAGCAGCTCGGTACATTGATCAAGTCTTGAAACCACACCCATACCTCATTTGGCACGTCGCCGCAACCACGAGTTTCAGCATGACAACGCCCGTACCCACACTGCGAGAGCAACAAGAGACTTCCTCCAGCAGAATGGCATCAGAACCATGCAGTGGCCTGCCCTCAGTCCCGGTTTAAATCCCATTGAACACCTGTGGGACGAGCTTCAAATACGGCTGAATACAGTATAGTAAAACATTACAGTATAGTAAATCATTACAGTATAGTAAAACATTACAGTACTGTGAGTCATTACAGTATAGTAAAACATTACAGTACTATGAACCATCACAGCATAGTAAAACATTGCAGTACTGTAACCCATTACAGTAGGGTAAACCATTACAGTATAGTAAAACATTACAATATCGTATTACCATATTGTAAAACATTACAGTACTGTGAACCATAACAGTATAGTAAAACATTGCAGTACTGTGAGTCATTACAGTATAGTAACACATTACAGTACTATGAACCATTACAGTATAGTAAAACATTGCAGTACTGTAACCCATTATAGTAGGGTAAACCATTACAGTATCGTAAAATATTACAGTATAGTAAAACATTACAATATCGTATTACCATATTGTAAAACATTACAGTACTGTGAACCATTACAGTATAGTAAAACATTGCAGTACTGTAACCCATTATAGTAGGGTAAACCATTACAGTATAGTAAAACATTACAGTATAGTAAAACATTGCAGCATAGTAAAACATTACAGTACTGTGAACCATTACAGTCTAGTAAAGCATTACAGTCTAGTAAAACATTACAGTATAGTAAAAGATTGCAGTATAGTAAGGCATTACAGTACTGTGAACCATTACATTTTTCTGAACCATTAAAGTATTCTAAATCATTACAGTATACTAAAACATTACAGTATAGTAAAACATTACAGTCCTGTGAACCATTACAGTATAGTAAAACATTACAGTATAGTAAAACATTGCAGCAGAGTAAAACATTACAGTACTGTGAACCATTACATGTTTTAACCATTACAGTAGAGTAAAACATTACAGTATAGTAAAACATTACAGTCCTGTGAACCATTACAGTATAGTAAAACATTACAGTATTTAAACATTACAGAATAGTAAAACATCACAGTATAGTAAAACATTACAGTATAGTAAAACATTACAGAAAAGTAAAACATTACAGTATAGTAAAACATTACAGTATAGTAAAACATTACAGTACTGTGAACCATTACAGTATAGTAAAACATTACAGTACTGTGAACCATTACAGTATAGTAAAACATTACAGAATAGTAAAACATTACAGTACTGTGAACCATTACAGTAGATTAAAACATTACAGTATATTAAAACATTACAGTATAGTAAAACATTACAGTATAGTAAAACATTACAGAATAGTAAAACATTACAGTACTGTGAACCATTAAAGTATAGTAAGACATTCCAGTGTAGTAAAACATTACAGTATAGTATACCGTTACAGAACAGACCATAATAGAAAAGTGAACAGGGCCGTACAGTGAACCATTGAAGGATTATGTTTTGTTTCTTGTGCATTCATTGAGGCATAGCTGTCGCAAACTGTACACAATCGGGTTGCGTAACCTGAACCATTTTCTAACAAATTTGAGAGTGTCATAATTCGATGAAAAACACACATAATTGCCAAAGTAGTATTTTATGCAATACTTTGCCGTATCTTACATACTTTCGTCATGTTTATGGCAACAGTTTTGGATTGTTACACATCTATACATGCACAAGAATTCACGACCCTCTTCAAAGGGAAGAAGCGAAGACTTATATCACTACGCTGGGAATTCCATGCGAATTTTCCTATGAGTACACGACGATTTTGTTTGGAATTTTGCAGAATTGCGTCCCTTGGGCACGCCAGAAACCTATGAATGTGGGTTCCAATCCCGGTTCACCCCGATTATGTTTCTAGGTTTGTCAGCACCATACCCGTCATCGTGGGTTTCACCGAAGTGGTAACCGTCTGAGACCTGCATCACTTCGAGCTTTCCTCCCACATTAAGCTGACACGCCGTGATACAACTGGAATACTGCTCAAAGCGGCGTTAAACCCAACCCACTCACTCACAAAAGGAACGTGTAAAGTCGGAACGGTAAGGTACGCATGAAAGTCAAAGAATCCGACAAACAAAATATATTTCAGTGAAACACCGTTAATCCCAGGGGAAGAGTACTCCAACGATTAGCTAATTCGGAGTTTTGTTAATCTGGACGTTATAGCGCGGAACGGTCCGGATTAACTACAATTTGGGGCAGAATAAAGTATACCGAGATTGGTTTTTTATGTAACTGAAAGTCGAAAGAACTGTTGTTAAATTTGATTATGTCTATTTATAGTATTTTACAGCACTCAGTTTGTAAAAAGTGGCTGGGTAATTTTGTGTGGCAATAAACTGGTTCAATGAAGACTGGGTTTGAAATGTGCCGCAAAAAACAATTTTATGATTTTCAAAGATAAGATGTTCGTGATACCTACCAGTAGTTGTGTATTATGCGATTTAAAAATGTTTTAAAGCAAATTATATTTAAAATGATAAAACCATGTCGAAGTAATCTTTCAGTGCTGACTAAGCGCCTGTGCAGCACATGTTATCGATATAATATCGCTTTCTTTAGATATTTTGAATCGAAAATCAAACATAACTTTAGGTTTCATTTTATAATAGAAATATCGAATTTCCATATGGCAGCAATTTCTCATCGGCACCTGATATATACTGGATTCAAATGTTATGGATCATGAATTTTTTAAATATTTTTTATGAAATTATGTGCTCAGTCTTCCCCACAAAATATCCCTATAACTATTCATGATCCCTAACTTATTTTGATCAATATACTTAAACTAATCCTTGTGCACAAAATTAATATTACGGGTTTGTCGAACCTGAAATTCTTTCTTGATACAAATTCGATTCGAACTCGAGTTTTGTTCTTCCGCTATGGCTTCACCGTATCCAGGCTCTCGTATCGTAACGCGGAGAATATTCATTGACGCCCCACCCCAAACCCCCCACTCACCCTACAATGTTTGTGATTTCATAGCCATTCAAATCTTGCCGAACGTTTCATAAAGAGCACGTAGGTTTGCGCAGCGAGTCTTACAACTGGCTCTATACATCAAACCATTATTACGTTGAGAACTTATGGGTCGGTGACGGGTGTCCGGTGTCAGTGCTCGTGAATAGCTTTGCACTATCCGGGTAGCTGAGTAGTCTCCCGGTAGTTACGGTGGGGTACGGACGTAACGGTATTGCACAGAGTACTTCTAAATTGTGGTAAGTATATAGCTTTGGATTTACCACTGTCTTAACTCCTCTCAGGTCGATATTCCGGAGTTGACTTCATATCTGTCGTATATTTGTTTAGACTAAATTATGGAGTGCGCCCGACTGTCTTGTTAATATGCGGCCATTGTACCCGAGGCTTGTACTCCTCTGGTCGTGTTCGACACCGGATTTATTTTAATGTTCTCGTTAAAAGTTTAAGATTCTTTATACATGTATGCTTAGTAAGAAACTTAAATACTTCACGAAATACTTATTTTAGCAGTGAAGTCATTATACTCGGTGACCCAGTGAGGAACTTAAAGCGACAAAACCCTTTCCACAATTCTAAGAAATCCGTGCTCAAAGCGGAGTTCATTGTACGATTCCAACTTTATCATAAGCAGGTGCTTGTGAATCACTATCAGATAGTGATGACACCAGGTGTTCGTTTAAAGGTGAGCATATCCTGCTCCACCTGGGGCACCCGTCAAGAACACATGCAAAGGCAAGTCATATTGTCACTGGAAAAACAAGGGAACATTTGGTCAAGAAGGAGGCAGAGGCATGCAAATCATTGTAAATGTTTATTCAGTATATTTATTGGAGATTACTGAGTATAATATCAACGTTAATAACGGGATTACCACTACGTCTTCTATCTGCTCTGAACGGCTTCTAAACTGGGCAAAAGCAAGTATACAGCCATGTTTGATGGTGGCTACAAAAGAAACAACCAGGAACTGGTTACTAGTATTCGATGGTGATGTACAGTCAAACACCATAATGTCGAACTTTGATGTGTCGAATGTACGGTTGTCTCAAAGTAAAAACTTCGTCCCTTTTTTATTCATCATTTTCGGTTGTGTGGTGTTAAGCAACATGTTTTGGAAACATCGTCAGCAGTGTTCTAACTTATGTACAAATAATATACTAGAAAAACTATTTTATTTTAATCATTATAATCTAGCACGGGTTTCACCTTGCTCAATGTGATGTTCAAGCTTTTTTCATACTGAGTCATAATGTGAGTCTGGGTACTGCGATGCTTTATATCGTGCATGTCAACTCTCTTTGTGGTTTCCTTGAAGATGATTAAACATGTCCAAAGACATAATCTTTCATTCAAACACCCTTTTTTTAACTCCCCAAATCACTCAGTGGTAAGATTTCAGATCTCTGGGCCTTCATCTTTCAAATGAGATGATTAATTCATACACAATTTAAGTTTTATCTATCAATGTAATGAATGATTTATTGATGTTTTAATGCCATAATGAATCTGAGACCCATTGTTTAACTGCGCGATGTCATCATGCCATAGTTTCAGAAAGCTTTTTCACAGTTATTGTCATACAGTAAACTACGGTTGTGACGAACGCAGAGAGACCACTAACTTTAGTTCGTGATAACCTTAGTTCGTTTTAAGCATTTCGACTAAAATGATCGAGCTACACCATCATGTCGCTAAAGATACTGTGTTTGTGCCAAAGCTGGACATCCACTGACAATGTGTTGGACAGTCTCATTAAAATCATGGCATAATCTACATTTCATATTTACATTTTGATGCAAAATCACACATTGACGGTTTCGAGTGGGAAGTGACTGGTCCTGAGCAGCAAACAGAAAGCCTTCTGTTCCACTTTTCATGCCAGCCGATTTCATCCAAGCAAAGGACTCTGCAGGGTTGCTGACCTTCTCAACACACTACACATAAACTTGATGCAGTGGTCGTTCAGATTGCCTCTCCTTGAAAAACTGAGTCTGGGCCGATTTGATATGGCACTTGGCTTGGTTGACACTCATTTCTGTACTGTCCAGCAGTACAGAACCATCATCAAAATCAACACTGACATTGAGATTATGTCCCACATCCTTGGCTCGTTTAAGAAAAATGTGGAATGCCTTGTTTTCATCATGAGTCTTGACATGCTTCACAAGAGGATCATCAGACTAAAAAATGTGTGCAAAAGTGCACAATACAAATCAACCACACCCTACCAGTATAATTGGTAAATATACATGTAAGCTATTGAGGGAAGGGCGAGGGTGGTGGGATCTATTGTCTAACATGATTCTTCGCGTGAGGGTGTCAATACACTGAAGTTAATGTTTCGTCCAAGCAACAACACCAACAAAATATGAAAGGACTTCTACAGCATAAGTATTTGTGGCTTCAACTTTATTGCGAGCGTTCAGCTCTGAACTTCAGATTCTCTTAAGTCCCCATTTGTACTCTGCCCGAAGTTTTTCCTTGATATGACACTGTTGACTGTTCATGTCGGACAGAGTGCTGTAGCAAGATGGTGCTGTCAGGTAGTTGATGCCACGACACACCACCTGGCCTATGTAATGTTGTTGACATAGTTGTTTCCCTTAGATGTGTCAAGAATCTATGGCCGTGGGCTCGAATGCCAATGTTACCAGGTTTGCCAGCACCATAGCCGTTGTTTTGGTTTTCATCACAAACTTTGCTTTGACGGTTTTTTTAATTATTATGATGCTTGTGCTTCTTCATATGTAATACATTATTTGTAGTTTCAGTCTCAATAAAACTGACCGCCTCCGTGGTCTATTGGCTGAGCGTTTGTCCCCGGGGAGCATACAAAAGATGTTAAAAGGTGGTATATGTTGTTACCCTGCCGGATAAAACAATGACTGGACGTCTCGGAGTCAGTCAAGTGTGTCTGAGTGGGGTTTTTATGTTAAACATTAGCCCGGACTAGTACAAGCACACACACACACGCACGCACACACACACACACACGCACGCACGCACGCACACACACACACACACGTGCATCTACGTCGCTATGTAAGTGTAATAATCTTGAACGCGAATCTAACTTCATTGCACCTCACCTAAATAAGATCTTACACCGATACGACCCTTCTCTTCATGACGATCTAACGACCCCTCTCTTCATGACGATCTAACGACCCCTCTCTTCATGACGATCTAACGACCCCTCTCTGCATGACGATCTAACGACCCCTCTCTGCATGACGATCTGACGACCCCTCTCTGCATGACGATCTAACGACCCCTCTCTGCATGACGATCTAACGACCCCTCTCTGCATGACGATCTAACGACCCCTCTCTGCATGACGATCTAACGACGCCTCTCTGCATGACGATCTAACGACCCCTCTCTGCATGACGATCTAACGACCCCTCTCTGCATGACGATCTAACGACCCCTCTCTGCATGACGATCTAACGACGCCTCCTTAAAGGGTTGAATCAGGCGAACCCTTAGCGACCAATCAAAATGAAGGATTCGTTTGAATAAATGAGCTAATCAGATGTCAGCTTTCTAAAACAATTATTATTTCCTATCCCTTTAGGAAATTTCAACCTTTGCAAACAAAAAACGCCATAGAAACACAAATGTAGTTCATGCTTTTCGGTATAGATTCATGACAGGATGTATAAAATATCCACAATATATAAATAGCGCAGCTTTATTATTTTGCAATCGGATCTCTCCAGTTATATTCGTTTTCGATGAACAGAAATCAGCATGTCGGGTATAGATTCATGACATGTTCTATAAAATATCCACAATATATAAATAGCGCAGCTTTATTATTTTGTAATCGGATCTCTCCAGTTATATTCGTTTTCGAAGTACAGAAATCAGCATGTCTGAATGCTTCGTTCACTCATACCGAGAATTTAGGAGCCTCGCTGATAATAAGTCGCCTGACGCGACCTCCCACGGAGGTGTGCTCAGGTCATCAGGCAGTGTGGTGTCGTATCGGGGTGAAGATCTGATTTAATGACATTGTGGTATTATGAACATTGCCTACTCCCTACAAATCAATTTAATTTTCTGTCATTAATCTACGTAATCAGCGTATTATGATCATTGTAAACTGTAGCGATATGTGGAGAATGTCCCCCTTGTGACGTGGGGAAACGAACGTTTATATGCTCACGCTAAGGGAGGGAAGTGAGGTGCTACGATTGTTGTGGGGCGAAATGCTGAGAGTTGAGCCGAATTGAGAAGTCAAATCCGATATTGTTATCTCACAGTAGTTTTCTTGTTTGATTGTTTGTTGTTTAACGCCGAACTTCCAGCTGTATGACAACGGTCTGTAAATAATCGACAATCGGGACCATGCAGACCCCGAGCTCGTGTTGACAGAGACCAGACAATCCAGTGATTGACATGATGAGCATCGTTCCACGCAATTGGGAAACGGTGACATGCATCAACTAAGTCAGCGAGCCTGACCACCCGGTCCAGTTAGTCTCCTTTTGCCATAAGCATTGGTTGCTGAAGACCTATTCTAACCCGGATGTTCACGGTGTTGTCGAATACTTGTACATGTATTAGTAAGTCTATGATTTAAGAGTGAAGACGAACAACGTATAGAGCATGCCCAGGGAAATAAGTACAAGATATATGGGGAAAATGGTTTGAACCTGTGCCTTTTTTATGTATTTGGTAGGTTTTGAGAACGGAGACTTCGGTGCACTGCTGTCAGTGAAATAGAACGCTGCCGGAGTGGTCAGATCCTGCAAAGGGAGATAATTAAGAACAGAGAGACAGTACATCATACCTCAGCCTAGTTAGAGGTGGCACTGCATCTAGTGTTTCTGAGGCTGTGGGGTAGCCAAGTGGGTAAAGCGTTAGCTCGTCACGCCGAAGACCCGGGTTCATGGCTAGAATGTGTGGAGCCCATTTCTGGTGTCCCCCGCAAGTAATATTGCTAAAAGCGGCGTAAAACCATTGATATGACACGGCCGGGAATCGAGTCCCGACCTTCAGCTCTCCGGGCGGACGCTCTATCACTAGGCCACGGAGGCGGTCCATATGTTCAGGGACGCAAAAGGAGCAGGAGATGAGAGATTCTTTTGAACTTTTGAACCAGAGTTGATATATTTCACGTCAAAAGAAATGAGGTTGAGATTCCATTTATCATCCGAAATCATTCTTCCAACTTATTTTTAGTTCGTAAACAGTGATAACATGTGTCGTGAGTGTTAAAATGTACTGC